TTTATAGTGTGCATGCATGCGCGAAGAACACGGAATTACCAGGACTTAGAGTGGGGATTAGAGAGGGAGCGCCTGCGTTCTGCATGGTCGGGCCGCGACGTGGGGGACGTAGCCCTTCTCCACGCATCGATCCGAGCATGCAAACCGTGGCTTACAAAAACTTCAGCAACAGAAAGAGAAGGAGAGCGGGAAAGACAAGATGCAAGAAGGAAAATACAGTTACAATGGTGCCCGCCCCAAGATTACAGTTACACACACGATTAAGGGCGCCTACTAATCAGAATACCGTTGCAGCCGCAAAAAGAAGCGCGTGGAAGAAGGCGTCGCGCGGCAAGAAAAAAAATCCTAACTACTGAATTCCTAATTCCTTTCTAATGCGAAGAAGCAAAAAGCACAAGGTTCAAAAGGAAAGTCCGAAATTCCGAGAGCCATCGGGGACTCGACAAAATTCAAAAGGAAATTCAAAAGAACGAAGCAAATTTCCCGCGCGATGCCGGCGCCCAAAAGATCGAAACCGAAACGAAAGAAACGTCGTCAACATTTATTAATCGCGCGCGCGCGCGGCGGCGCGCCAGACATCCATCCGACCAACCAATCAACCGGCCGTCCCAAGACACACCCAGCTCCGTGCCTAGCCATTCGAAAAAGAAGCGACGAAAAGGACAAAAAAGCGAGGACACTGATGCAATTCTCCACCGATCCCGATCTACCGTAATTGGCCCAATCTTCCCAAACTAGGACCCCTTGTTGCAACCGCGCAGAAAATTGCGCGTTACAGAAAGTGGTTCGTCACATATGTGACGCCCAGGGGGTTCCAATATTAGCAAGCTCCTGCTTGCTTGTTGACACGTGTCGATTTCTCTAATCGATCAACACGCGGAGCACTTCTGTCTATGCCACTTACCGTTCAACTGCATGTGGACGTCATCCACGTGGCAACATTGCTCTTCTACTAGTTCCTCAGATTGGGTTCTCGACGATCCAAGGACGGGATCCTTCTCGTGTCGTCGTCGCGACACGCGTCCATTACCGCTACATCAATAATTAACCGGAAGGGGGAAAGGAAGGTGGTACGCATATGAGGGAGGGCGAGGCGGCTCCATCGTAAGCTCAGGTATGAAGCGCCCGATCGCAGTGAGGTCGTAGGGAAGCTCTTGGAAGCAGACGATGCGATGGAAGCGGGGGAATCGCTGGCTGCTGCGGGGAAGGGAAGCGAGGTAGTCTGGGTAAACGGAAACGAGGGTTCGGAGGACGTTGGTGCGGAACCGATCATGGTCTTCGCACGGAGGAAAGGTCCCCGTAACGATGCAGTAGACCTCTATGTGGTTACGGCCTCGCCACGCGGCGCTAAGGAGTAGAACGTGGAGGGGGTAATCGGGGACGGCGCACCGAACGGAAGGGTGGGGGTGGACAGTCAGCTCTAGGCGGGCGGAGTAGAAATGTCAGAAGGTGGCGATGGGGAAGGGATTACTGAGGAAGACGACGCGATGGAAATACTGATTGAAAGAGAGATGGCTAAGGGGACAGTGGTATATGGATCGGGGACGAAGGGCGAAGCCCCTCATCGATACGTTGACGAATTGGGGGACGGGCGGAGGCGGAGGGGGACGGGGATCGGGATCGGGATCGGCGCCTTGTCGTCGCAGCGCTCGAGGTTGTGGCAGCAAGGTCCCCATGTTCCAGCTTTGGGCGGCTCGGGATCCTTGGAAGGATCGTTCGATATGGGGTCGATCACCGGCCGCTTTCCTTCCGCGACCTCTTTCTTGCGCTGCGCGGCAGCCTAAGGGTTCTCCTCTCGTCGATCCGATCCTGGCACCCACTCGAGCTCGTCGTCGTGCGTTGGCTCCTGGTCATCTCCGCTTTCCACTTCTTCGTCGTCGTCTTCGTCCTCCTCCTCACTTAGTTTGCCCTCGTCGTGCTCACTATAGGCTTCCTTCTCTTCTTCCAGAGTCTCCTCCTCTGCGTCTTCTTCTTCTTCTTCTTCTTCTTCAGCTTTCGCCGACTCTTCTTCTGCTTCGCGTTCTTCTTCCTCGTCCTCGGCCAACCGGGCCGCTGCTTCCCCGGCCTCTCTCCTTAATTCTCCTTCTGAATCCTCTTCTGCTTCCTCTTCTGCTCTCAGCGCCGCCCACTCAAACGCCGTTGGTTGCCGAAAGAAGCGAGGATTAGTTAGGCTGTGGACGTCCAGGTACTCGCTGCGAGAGGGAAAACGGTCGTCCGCCCAACGCTCCTCGATACAAGCCGACCACTGGAGGCTGGGGGCGAGAGTCCTTGAGAGGGTATGTGGCACGGGCTCTTCGTCGCTTTGAGAGATGATGTCAAGGGGGAGTTGTCGGCCAGTCGCGCGACCACGATCGTAAGTTCGCGCGCGATCTGTGATCGGTTTCCCCGATCCACTGCTCCAAAGACGAATCCCAGAAGGTCTCCCGCCACGTTGGTCCTCCACGCCTGGATGATGAGCAGCTCCACAGTCTCTGACGCGGGCCTCCGATCGCCTTCCTACATCCAGTTCAGATCCACTCGTATCAGGCAGAACGAGAGCTCAACGAACTCTGCACGCCACAGCCTCCAACGATCTGGATCAACGATGGGTACTGTCAGCGGCTCCAGGCGGAAGGAGAGACGAGGGTAGTGAGAGGACTGCCAGAAGATGGGGAAGAGAGAGGGAGGAGAAAACGTCGAGATCGGCGTGCGGCTCATCTGCGCGGCTGGAAGGGAGGACGAAAGGTGGCTCACGCAGCGTTGTGCGCAGCGTGTTGACCTTGATGCCATCGACAGGATAGCACTCGTCACCGTGCCTTGTGAGCCGTCGTTCCCAATCAGTGGCCAGATCACGACCCCACTGGTACAAGGTGCTTTTGATGGCGGCTTGCCGCGCCGGATCGAAGGCAGTGATGTCGCCACTGAAGACTACCACGGTAGACACGTGGCTAATTCCTGGGGCCGCTCACCGTTGGAACGCCGTTGCCTCGGCCAGCACCACCACCTGGGGATTGCTCGTGAACCGGAACTCCGCCGCGCCGTACACACCCGCAGTGCAGAAATACTGCGCAAGGCGCATGAAGTCGGGGCTGATCCGCGGATGATGCACTTGGCGGATGGCTGAGATCTCTCCCCGTGGCATCAGCAACTGATTACCGAAAGCTCGCTCAATGGCGAAGCTCATGGCGATGGCGGGGGTGACGGGGTGGCAGAGAGGGAGCAAGAAGGAGAGGGAGATGGCGGAGAGTCTGAGCCGTCGTCGTCGGCTTCCTCAGAAAGAGAGACCGAGGGAGAAGGAGACGGAGCAGAGGGGAGGAGGCGAAGATAGGACACGTGGTGGGTGATCGGACGAGCCGATCGACTGCCAGAGACCTCGGGGGCGAGACGCACGGTGTCCACGCCGTTAGGGCCGAGTTCAATCACGCGATATCGCCCGAAGAATCGTGGCGCTAGCTTACCCTGGCGAGCACATTTCCTTACCTGCACCACGTCCCCCAATTTGTACTGGGGCCGCGGATAGCATTCCCATTTCGGGCCTCGTAGCTCCGGACCTGTCGGCCTTGGGCTAGTTCGGTCATTTTCTGTCGTTTTCGGGCTAGCCTGGGCAGCGACCGTTCCATTAACTCTAGGTGTCGTTTGGCCTTGTCCCGAGCCGTGGCCCTAGTGGGCCATCGGTTCAATGTAGACTCATCCAGGAGGCTTGGTATCGAAACGCAAGCGACGCTATTGGTTCTTAATTGGAAAGGGCTTAGCCCCGTCGATTCGTGGGGCGTTCCGCGATGGACCGCCAGGATGTGATCGACGATATCGGGCCAGGGCCTCGGATCCCGTGCCGCGATGTTTCGTTGCAATGCTGTCTTTATCACCCGGTTAGCGTTTTCGACCAGCCCATTGGATTGTGACATGTGGGGTGCAGTGTTCCGTATGGCGACGCCGTGTATGACCAGATTCCTTAACACTTTCCCTCTGAATTCGGCCCCGTTGTCAGTCAGGATCTCTTCCGTATCCTGATGCATCCCGAGGAAACGGTTGACATATCGCGCGATTTTCGTGGCTTGCCGTGTGCGACAAGGATACGCTTCGATCCATTTCGAGAAATGGTCGACAAATACCAATAGGACTGAATATTCGCAACTATTAGGGCCAAGGGGCACTACTATGTCGGTAGTGTCCATGCTCACTCTTTGAAATGGCCGTTCAACAACCGTGGGCACTATCGATCTTGGTGGCTGAATCGGCGCTTTATCAGCGGCGCAGACTTGACAGTTGGCGACAATGTATTTCACATCGTCGCGGATATTGGACCAGTACCACTCATTTTTGTTGATATCGGATTTCGTGATTCGTACGGCAAAATGGGCCGCAGTTTCCTCGTGGGTTGTCTTAACCCAGTCATACCGCATGAACGGATGCGGTACCACCATCCAAATCCCATTGCCGTCCGTTTTCCGTTTTTCTAATCTACCTTCTATCCATCGGTAATCCCGAGCCCTTTCGTTTGCCCTCCTCCGATCTTCCTTGGTGAAATCTTGGAGGGGGTTACCTACTAGGTGGCAATCAAGGCAATATCCATCCATACTTCGACTCTTCTAAACTTCCGGGTCCTTTCCAACCCTTCTGACGTGGCATCCAAAAAGCGAGCCTCGATCGGAATCTTGTCGGTGCAACACAACTAGGGTGGCACAAGGGGCACAACCATGGTTTACTATCGTTTCTGTATTGGATGCACGAGCCATGGGCTCGTGCGACACATTGTCGGCATTCTATCCAATCCACATACCCTTCCCCGTTAGGACGCATGGAGACTGCGTATACGCGGGAGATGGCTTCGCAAAAATAGCAAAATTTGTCAGGCCGGGAGAGGAGAGACGAAGAGGAAGGGGGAGAGAGAGGGGTAGTGGGGTTACCTCCATCACCCATCACCACCGTTTTACTTCTTGCCACGTGGAAGAACCACCACTTGTCAGTATTTCGGCTCGTTGGTCAAGTCCAGCTCTTTCCACGGTGTAATTTCCTCGCCCTTTGGTACCTTGGCAGGTCGATGCAGACGTGTCAGCCCGTCCGCGTTGCCGTGTCGCTCTATCTTTCAATGGACGATATTGAAGTCGTATTCTTGCAGTCGCACCGCCCAACGGCCAATCATGTCCGTGTAGTTGGTGAGTTTCTTCAGCGCCAACAAGGGTTCGTGATCTGTCACGAGGCGAAACTTCTGTCCGTAGAGATACGGATGGAAGTGTTGGATTCCCCAGACTACTTCGTAGCATTTGCCTTGAGGTGCCCAGTCATTCCTTCGTTCGTCCGGTACGGTGCGTGACGCGTATTCGATGACGTGCTCACGACCATCGTTCCCCTTCTGCGCTAGAATAGCGGAAATAGCTTCCGGTTGCCAGTCCATGATGAGAATGAACTGCTTCGAGGGGTCCGGCCGAATCAAAATAGGGGTCGTCGCCAGAGCGTCCTTGAGGGTTGCAAAAGCCTGTTGACACTC